AGAAATGAATAATGGATCATTCTAGAGAGCAAATTTTTAATTATAGGTAGCTCTATACAGCAATGCACAAGATGAGAGGGCAAAAGCAGTTAGAGCCTGTGAAAAAACACAGTGGAGTTGAAGTTTTATTTGAACACAAAACAAACTCGGGCAAGTAAAACACAGGCTGTCACGGCATTGCACACAGACATGCCTGCAGAGAGGGTACAGTAAAAATATACAGCTGTGGAGTGAATCAGACGATCCTTGGTCTTTTTTGCTTTCCATCTCAGTCTTGTCTCGCCGTCTCTTTCCAGATAACCTTTTCTTCAAACATGGTTTCGCTCCCTTGTCTGAGCCTTCCACTAAAAGCTAGGATTGGTGGTTTCTCATGCTCGCTGTCACAGATTGAAGTGTCCTAATGAGAGAGAGATTGTGATTTTATTAAAGGGTTTCCAGGATCTGAAATTCCAAATTCCATCTGTCCTTTAGATTTCTTCCCCTCCTTATAGTCTTTCTTTGATAAGTCTGCTTAATATACAATCAAAAACCATAGTGGTGAAATTAAGATGTAAAATTCTTAAATCTTAAGTCTGGCATCTTATAAAGGCTTGTTAGCCTTTGGCCTGGTTGGAGAAAGACAAGTTAGATTTATCTGCTGTTCATGTGAACATGAACAGCAGCTTTAAAAGCTTTAGGACCTTGTGACTCAAATATTAATTTGGTGGCTAATGTTACTTTTATGCATACCAGTGCTACTGATGTCTTTATTCTAATAATAATACGCAATTATGCAACATTGCTAGTTTAACATCAGACTTTTACTGTTTGCATGTGTGTGGATGAAAAGAAATATTCTGAATGGCCAAAGCTGCCAAATGATTTTGTGCTTTAGATGTGATAGGGACATGCCCCTCAGGTTTAATGAACAGCAGAGGTGAGTCACCAACAGAGGGGCACCTCTCCTGTTGAGCAAACAACGCTTATTTTGCAGCATTGCAGTATTTTGATCACTTCTGTTTCTTACAGTAAACGTGCTTTGGTGTTTATTTGGTGTTTTGTCAATTAGATAAATCATTAAATAAATGTTTCTGTCTAAGATGACAGGGCATTCTTAAAATTTTCTTTCTCTATATACATTATGTACATCAAATGTTTTTTTTTTATTTGAGACAATCAGAAGATTTGTATTTTATAATCCAAAATGTCTGACAGATATGATAAGTTATCAGAGGTGATAAGTACAAATGGGCAGTCTTTATAATATTGATTAGAAGCTGATTCATAAGATCAGCTCTTGTGCAGTGTGTCCAGAGGACTATTTAGTGAGAACATAGATATTGTGATTAAATTCCCAGATTACGGTTGAAATCCTGCCTGCAGTATTTTCCTTTTGTAATTCACTCATATACATTCTGTAGATAAATACTGACAATAGCATACAGTAGATCTAGACATATACATAGAGAAATGGAGAGCTGTTAGCGATATCTGTTTGCGCACATATGAATGTGATTTCAAGTGGTTTTTTGTAGATCTATGAATAGAAATGTAATTTGTGGTGTAGGAGATAAGAACAGAGTGTTTAAATTCCCATCACAAAAGCACAGGCGCAGTGCTGTGAACAGCTTTCAAATATTACTATGGGATAAGCACATCAGGTAAGAAATACATTTAGACTTGTTTAATTTTGCCATCCCACTTCTTCCCTGTGTTTATTTGGCTTGAGCAGCCAACAGTCTGGCATATTCCATATGCAATAAGTACACAACATTTATCATCAAGAAAAGTTCCACATATAGACTAAATCAATCAATAATGACTCATTAGTAAATGAATGAAAGTAATGTTTTTGGCAGTTTCCCTAATGTCCCAGACTCAAAACACATTTGGAACTTATTTGAAAAAACAAAAAATGCAGTATTTTCATTCTTTTTTACTAAATTTACAACTGAAGTTGACAGCTTTTGAAACAGCTGCTCAAAATGCTGGAACTGCTGCCCTTTGGGTTTAACATCCATCAGTGCTGCTGAAATCTTTAAGCAGCAGCTAAAAGCTTATATTTTCTGATTGTATTTATTGTCTTATGTTTAGTATGCGTATGTTTCTTTGACATTTCTCAACACCTTGCCATCTTGTTTAAATTGAAGCGTTGAAAAGGGACTATTGTTGCCAAAAAGTGTATATAGATAACTTTAATACAGTGAGATATTCCCTCTTGCCCTTGC